GACAAATGAGGGACTGAGCACCCAGGCAGAGGTCAGCTCCTGAATCCGTGCTGCGCTGCGCCAACATAAAAACTGTAACGTGGCAAAATGAAACGATGAATTGGGTGGCAAGTTGTCAATTCAATAATGAGAACACAACAAGGTGGAAAATGTTTCTACCTATAAATGACAATTATCTACTGAAATGGGCCATCATCAAAGACGGTAATCACACTGCACATCCCTCACTGCAGTTCCGTGTCTCCAGGAAAAAATGCCTCCCTGGCACGGCCTCTGGAAGGTGGGAGTGGGCACCCCATGGGACACTGGGTGGGGGGCTCCTTGGACCCTTGGGGACCGAGAGGGGCAGGCCTCAAGCCAGCACAACAGCACGCAGGAGAGGCACCGCCCACCCCTGGGCAACAGGGAAGGACCCATCAGTCCTCGTTGGGAGCACCTTAGAAATTATGCAAATTCACTCAAGGGGTGTTTCCTACATGCGAGGCGCAGCACTCAGCCCTGCGGGGGACCCTGGCCGTGGCGCTGGGAGGGGGAACAGACTGGCAGGCGGCTCCGATCCACAGCAGGTGGTCAGTCCCTTCGACACGGAGGAGGGACAGGCAGCATCCGTGTCGCAGGGGCATGTGGGTGGGCCTGAGAGACAGGCAACGCTCCTGCCGCACTGAGCGCAGGGCACTGAAGGGGCCGTCCAAAACCAGAGAGGCCTGAAGGGCGCGCTGGGATCGGGGGGTCTTCCAGAGCCTTTGAGGAGGAGAGCCACAGTCAGACGCGGCGGAGGCCGTCGGGGGCTCGCTGCAACCGCGCGGTCACCCAGCAACACGGCTGCATCGACTGCGCTCGGACTTCATGCCACTGGTAATGTCTCCCACTGACACAAAACTCGTCACTGCAGGCTGTCTGTGGACCTGATGACGGGGCGGGGGTCACGCAGAGAAGCGGGGGACAGGTCCTCAGAGGACACTGTCCGTGGAGGGGGACGCACAGGGAAGACCACAAAGGCGGCCTCCACGATGTCACTTGTCCCGCGTGCGCTTGTGCAGGGGGACTTCCATGCTCCCCGTTGGGGAGTGACGCCCACCTCCCCAGCCCTGGAATCTGAGCAGGCCGACGGCCTGATGCGCCCGACAGAATGCAGCAGAAGTGACCCTGCGTCCCTCTGGAGGCCAGGCCTCAGGAGCGTCTGCCTCCACCGCCGCGAACACCGCCTCTGGGGAGCCAGCTGCCTGGTGACGGGCCACCGTGCCAGGAGGACAGGCGAGCAGCCCGTGGAGAAAACCACTGCCAGGAGGACTGGCCACGGCAGCGGCGCCCCTGGGACGTTCCAGCCCAGCCCCGCCACAGCTCAGGGCAGCCCGGGGAGTGACCCGGTCAGCGCGCGACAGCAGAGCAGCCCAGCCGGGCCTGGCCTGAGGTCCTGACCGCGGGTGGCGGTGTGGTCAGCAGCTGTCGTGTTTAGTCCCTGGGCTGGGAGGTAGTGTGTTCAGCAGCAATAGCTAACGGAACCTGGCTGGATGGGTCCAGAGAACGAGGGTGAGTCCTGGTTCTGTTCTTATCAAGTGATGTGACCTTGGGCCGGTGACCTACCCTCCCCCGGACCTCAGCCTCCTTCTCTGCACAACGGGGAGGCTGTGCGAGGGAGCTAAGGCGCTTTCCACCTCTGACGGCCCATGCCCCGCGTGTGGCAAGAACGCAGCCGGGCCAAGTGCCGGGCGGGCGCGAGGACTGAGCGAGGCCGCGCCGAGCCCGGGGCACGGCTGCCAGTGGGGGGCACGGGGGGCGGGGGCCCGAAGCGCCGGCCGTCGCCGCCATCTTCTCGTCAGCTCCGCAGCTCCAGGCAGGCTCATCGCTCGGATCCCCTCCTTTTCATCAGAGAAACGCAGGTGCCCGTAATGTCTCTGTTTGCACATGAGGAAACTTCTTTGTACGTGAAAGCCCCACACAAATCAAAATCACCTACAAACAGAAGCCTCACAACTCTCGCGAGCCCGTGCACCATCCTCACTTGTGTCTCCTCCTCGCCCTGCGAGCAGAGGGCCAGCGGTGGCACCGCCACCGGGGAGGCGCACCGAGAGCGCAAGAGGGCCCCCTGACCCACCGCGGCCAGGGAGCGGGTGCCCGTGCGGGCAGCCCTGAGAAGCAGCTCCCAGTCCAAGGGGGATCTGGGAACAGCCCAGCATGAAACGGTTGGAACATGTCCTCCGGCCGCACCCGGAGGCGGCCCCACCAGGGAGCCGTGAATCGGACCACTGCCTGGCGAGTCGCGTCCCGGGAAGAAACTCCGGGTTTGGGAGTCCAAAGTCCAAACCCCTGGTGTCAGTCCCGGCGCTGCCGCGCACCGAAGCAGGCCGCCGCCCCCCGCGTCCTCGGCAGTCGGGCACAAGGAAGCCCGCTGTAGGGAGGCGGTGGGAAGCGGACGAGGCCCTGCAGGCGAGAGCATCCAGCTTCTGCTTGGTAACTGAACGGGGTGTATTTTTTAGGTGCCAGAACCTCTGACGCCCAGGTGCCCTTCAACCCAGCCACAACCTCTCGACCTCTGGGGAGCCCTGGAAATGAGAGGCACCCGTCCAGTCACCCCCTCCGCGGGGACTGACACCCTGCCAGCCCCCGGGGGGAGGCCCTGGCTCGCCCTCCAAGGGCACCTGACAAGGCAGCAGCGATCACTCCCACTTCGCAGCCTGCGCTTGCTCCAAACCAGCAGCCGTGCTGCGCATTTAACCCCGTCAGTGCGGCGACGGTGCGGCTCCAGGGGACTTGGGGAAGCTGGCGCACGCGGGACAGAAAAGCTCCTGCTCCCACCTCTGCGTGGGTCTTGGCTGACACGGTATCAAAGTGCCGGTGCCCAGCGTCAAGGGCCACGAGCTGGGAGATGGGACCTGGTCCTCCGAGCCCTGTCCTTCCCGCTCCGCCTTGCCAGGCTCAAGGCAAAGCTTCCTCCCTGCGCTCAGCTCTGTGCTGGGAACACAGCCTCGACCCTCGGGGGCGCCCCCTCCTCTTACGGAGCATCGCTGGGTGGGAGCCCAGGGAAGTTACCATAGGAACCACATCACACAGCCCCCAGACATGGCTTAGAAAAGAAACCGGGAAGGGAGGGCCAGGCCCAGCAGGTTGGAGGCGAGCCTCCAGCCCAGCGTTTCCCGAAGTCTGAACCCTGTCACCGGCATCGAATCACAAGGAATGCTCCCCAAACGCCCACCGTCCTGGGCTCCCCCAAATGCCACCAAATCAGCGTTGGGGGTGGCAAGAATCAGACTTTGTAATACCGTCATCTAGTAATTCTTGCACATGCTAGGTTTGCGGACCGAACTGGGATGAGATGTGGAGACCGAAAGAAGAACAAAAAGGCTTAAAAGCGTTTTAAATCTGATCTCTATTCTTGCAAAACAGAACCCTAGCGAACCAGACAAGAGAGAAGCAAAGTTCCCAGTTTAGGTACAGCCGAGAAAATTAAGTTGTGACAATGTTGGACACTCATAATTTAAAACAACAACAACAACAACAACAACAAACCTGCTCACCAAAGCAACAGGCCCGGACGAAAATTAACCCCACACCCCGTCTTCGACCAACCAGATCTGAGAGAAGCACGATGCGGTGCTGGCGGCGGCCCCACTCTGGTGCCCGCCATCGCCAGTGATTCAGCGCTGCGACCCTCCGCGGGCTTGAGGTCTGGGGGCGGGGGGTGTGCCTGCTCTCGCCAAGAGGGTGGGGGGCGGTTACTCAGAGGCACACGAGAGGCGGGTCCCCAGCTCCCACATCTCCAAGGGAAGCCAACAAATCTCCTTGTAACCAACGGCCCCGGGGCCCCGCTGGCACCCAGAAGCTGTTTCACCAACGCCCTGAAATAGCCACCTGAGCCCTGCCAGCACCTGCACCTACGAAGTCCTGCGGCAGAAACAGGGAGCACAGAGTGAAATCACCCCCACGCGGGAATGCCCCCTCCACAGGTGACAGGCAGCGGCAGCGCCAGCTGCAGTTTCAGAAACTGGAGCTCCTGGCTCTGGGCAGCACTGCGCGGGGGGAGGGGGCAGAGCCTTGTCACTCTCACCTGAGGGTCCAGAGCAGAGCCTGCCACCCGCCCCTCCTCAAGGAGGCCCGGGCTCCAGCGCCAGCCTGGGAATCTGCTCATCCCCCTAAAATCTGCACCAGCAGCTGGCTGCCTACGAGCTGCTGAAACTTAACATTGTGCCACAAACCCAGCAGAAGGGTGGCTCTCAGCCCACCCCCTTCCATGACTGGCACTTGCAAAGGAGTCTCGGCAACCCCGGCATTTGGGAAGGGCTGACCCCGGGGCCTGGCTCCTTGGAATCTAACACTCGTCCTGTATTATTTTTTTTCCAACCCGGAAGCAGGCATTGCCCCTTTGAAAGGCGTTCTGGAAAGCACCTCTCCCACGGGATCCCGGCAGGTAAATAGCGCCAGAGCTTCCCTAAACTCATTCCAAGCTGTGCTCCAGGCTGTGCTCCAGGCTGTGCTCCCCCCTCAGGCTCTCAGGGCTGCCTTCCCAGGACTCCCAGGGCGGGGGTCTGGAAGTGACGCCACCAGCTTTGGGCCAGCGAGGACAGGGGTCTGCGGGGGGGCGGCGGGGGGGGGCCGACGGGGGGAGGACTCCTGTGTGCAGGTGCGGGGGGAGGATGAGGATCTGCAGGTGGGAGGGGGCAGGAAGGGGACCTCCAGGTGAGGGGAAGGGCAGGGGTCTGCAGGTGGGAGGGGGCAGAGGGGGGTGTGCCGGTGGGGAGGGGGAGGTCAGAGGTCTGCCGGTGGGAAAGGGAGGTCAGGGGTCTGCAGGTGGGAAGGGGCGGAGGGGAGTGTGCAGTGGGGAGGGCGAGCAATACCGCTGCAACTTTGCCGGCACACCCCAATTCTGGGCAGGAGCCGCGGACCGCACCCCGAGCGGGGGCCGCTCCAGCGGAAAGGCCCCCGGCCCGCCGGCCCCCTCCCCCCTCGGTCCCGCTGGACCCGCCGCCCGCCCCACACGCCGCGCCCGCGGCGGCCGCCCTCACCTTGGCCTCGAAGCAGATGCCGTGCTGGAAGGCGTCCTCGTTGTGCAGCGGGATCCGCAGGTCGTGCCCGTCGTCCACAAGGTTGTACTTGGTCTTGCTGGGCATGGCGAGCGCGGCGGCGGGAAGGGGCGGCCGGACCCAGGACGGAGGGCGGGAGCCGGGCGGGCTGCGGGCGCGGGAGCCGGCGCGGCGCCGAGGCGGGCGGCGCGGCGGCCGCGCAGTTCCTGTCGCTGGAGGCCGAGCGGGAGCAGGGCGGGCGGCCCGGGACCGGGAAGAAAAGGCGGCGGCGGCGGCGGCGGCGGCCGAGAGCGCCTGTCACGGAGACGCCGGCTCGGCGCGCGGCGGCCCCTCCTCCTGCCGCCGAGGCCCCGCCCACCGCCGAGGCCCCGCCCGCCGCCGCCGAGGCCCCGCCCGCCGCCGCAGTGCCCCGCCCCGCAGTTCCAGCCGAGCAGGTGCGGGGCCGCGGAGCGCCCTCTGCGGCCCGGCCCGGCCTCCTCCCGCCCGGCGTCCGGGTCCCAGGCACGCAGGCTGGGCCCTGCTTTTGTTCCACCGTCAGGTTATGGGCGGGCGGGGCTGCTAATAGCGGCGGCGGCGCCTGGGATTTTGTTTTTGTTTTTGTAGCGGGGCAGGGGCGGTACTTGCTGTTTTGTTTTCGTGTTTTACCGGGAAGGCCTGAGCCCCGTGGCCCGAAGTTACCCACAGCGTCACTTCTGAGCGTCCCCTTTCCCCGAGAACCAAGACTGCGCCCGAACCGGGCCTCCAGCGCGGGCGTTGTCCCCGTGAGCCGGGCCGTCTGTCCCATGTCCGGGGGTGGCTATGAAACGGGGGTCCAATACAGCGAGAAGCCACCGCCGTCTGATCCTTCTTCAGGAAACGCCTTCTGTGACTGGCCGCGGAGAAAAAACGCCCGTTTCTGGTGTGAATCGCTCTGTCCGTCTTGGGGGAGCTGGCGCTCACGTCGCCTGTTAGGAGGCCTATGCGCGTTTCTCCTTTGCACCCAAGTTTTTCCCACATACACTGCAAAGGGAGCGGCCGGAGCGGGCGTCAGCCACCCCTATTCAGTAGGCACCGGGGCATGGCACCGGGGCAGGACAGCTGCCCTCGACGCGGCTTATGACCCCAGAGTCACCATAAAGCAACCAAACCAGTCAGAGCTAAAGCCAGCCCAGCCTGAGGTCACTGAGACTGGCCGGCCAGCTCCCCTGGGAAAGTTACCACCCGAGAGACAGGCTCAGCCCCCTGAGACAGCCTGCAAACTGGGAACCCTCGGTCACTTGCTGCACAGTCAGGGCTGGGAAGCCTCCCAGGGAAAGCGCCTGCAAGAGGCCTGGCTTCCCACACCACATCCGGGGTAGATGTGTGTAAAATGCACTGTGGCCGTCAGTACAGTTCTCGTCTCGTCCTTTCCATGTATTGCCCACTCGCCGTCTGCTGGAATCACTGCTCAAGGTGTGGCGTCCGCTGCTGCGGCGGCTCCTTCACCGAGAGCAAGCTGAGGTCTGCAGCAGGTGAAGCGCGCGCACGACGCTGTGCAGGCTTGATTACGTGCCTAAACATCAGTGACAGCCAAAAATAACCCGCACTGAGGAAATGCACCGCCAACCTTTTTATAAATACAGGATGTGAGCCTAATCAGGCCCGTTCGACTCTTAGAATGTCGCCCCGGTGTGAACACGCATCGCACGGCGCTCTCCAAAACCTGGCGTGGGACCCGACCGCTTCCAGGCAAGACCTGGAGCGACGGCTTCATTTACATCTCCTGAGTCTAGCAAGTCCCCTGACTGCTCGCGGCCTTGACTCCCTGGCCGGGATGACCACAACTTCAGGTCTAACGCCGCGGTCCCTCGTTTGCCGACGAGACACAAAAGGCGGAGCCCCAAGCCTATTTCCAGGTCCGGTATTTCAGAGTCGACAGCACGGTAAACATCCAATAATTAGTTATGGACTCGCGTGATAGTAAGAGCTAACAGTCACTGTGCTTTCTCTGTGTGACAGGCGTCCTCTCAATTAGTAGTCACGAGAGCCCGAAGGCGATCCCCATTTTTGAAGAAAGCGAGGCACAGAGGCATTGTCTGACTGGGCCGCGGTCTCCTGCTCACAAAGGGGAAGGGGCCGGACGTGGACTCCGGTTCGGTCCAGAGGCGTTTCCACCGCGGCCCAAGATGGCGGGAAGCGCTTGTTGCTGCGGTCAGGATGCCGTGTGTTAGGTGGGTGCGTGTCGTTGCTGAACTATGTTCACCCCACTTGGGCCAGACAGAATGTTCCCGAAGGAGAGGCCTGCTCTCCGCGCTGGCCTCTGCCCCCCCCAGCGCCAACGGCAGAGGCACCGAATGACCTCCTGCTGGGAACAGTGGGCGTGTGCGCGGTCACTTCCTCTGGCAGCGCTGCCTTCAGCCTTGTGTTTACACCTTTGAATAGAGTCGGTGATTGACTTTCACCCACAGTATTTTCACATCCGTACAAAAACAAAGCAAGTGTTATTTCTTCGAGTGGATGGCAGGTGCACGGGCTGCTTCCCAGGTCCTTCTGTATGGAAAACTTGCATAAGACAATTTCAGCCTGAAGGGCGTGTGATTAAAATATAAATTGCCAAAGCGCACAATACTTCCTATATTGAATTTTATTAACACTTTGTTTGAAAATAAATTCAAAAAAATCCTAAATCACAGATGTTACAACTGGAAATGACACAGTGACCCTCTAGCCCAGCTCCTTCACTATGAAGACAAATTTTTTTTTAAAAAAAGAAACAGATTAAGTCATTTTCCTGGGGGTCACCATAGGCTTGAGCTCCAAACTCAGGATCTCTCCATCACATGACGACGAGTTATAAATTACTTGACAGCAAATTTATTTTTAGCCCATCTTCGGAGCTGGGAAAATGAATTCATTTTGACCGTAAAATACTTGCTTTGCCAGCTGAGCATGGCCTGGGCTGTCTCGCGTGGCCACGTGGGGCGGGGGTGCAGACGAGGACCCCGAGGCTGCGTAAGTCTCGGAGCGGCAAGTCTGAGGACCCTGCCAGAGAGCAGCCCACCAAGGAGGGAGGCCACGTCCGCTGGCCGGGTCCGCTCAGACACACGCGTGGAGGAACTCACAAAATCTCTGGCTAAATAGTAATTTCACATTGTAACAAACCACAATGACTTCCTCCTGTTAGACAGCACTAGCTCCACGAAGTTCAACTGTTCATCCCACGGGATTGCTTTTGCCTGGTGGCCTCTCCCTCGGCTACAGGGAGTGAGAGCCCTGCGCCCAACTGAAAGGGGGCAGCAAAGATACTAAGTGATTTCTGTGCAAACAGAGGTAGGTAGACAGCCAGACAGAGGACAGACAGGTGGATGGATGGGTAGACGGGTGGAGACAGAGAGAAAGAGAGAGAGAATCCTCTCTTCCGAACGGCTTCTCATCAGAAGAAGAGTTTGGTCGACCTTGGTCTTTTATTGCGTAACAAATAATTTGGGATGTTCTCCCCATAAAAATTCCTCCCCCAGGCTCTGATGCTGACCTCCATGTTTGCCCCTTAATCGAAACTGACTCCCCCCACGTCAAGTGCCCGAGGCCGCGGCTGCTTCCGGGGGGTCTGCAGGCTGCCCCCCAGGAGGGAGCGCCTGGGGCCCCGGGGTCCGGAACGCGACGCAGAGAGGGAGCGAGGCCTGGGACTCAGCTGCCGTTGGCAGGCAGGGCTCCGGCCGGCCTTGCGCCCCCTCCGGCGTGTGGCTTCTCCTGACCCTCCCTCCCGAGTGGAGGGACCTCCCTGCTTCTCCGGGGCAAGCTCACAGCTGTGTTTCTTGGCCCGGTTTCATATATCAGGTGAGAAATACTTATTGACTCAACAGCTTTTTTTCTAAAACCTTTTGGTCACTGGCAGTAAAACCACTTTTAACAAGGACGCGTGCTCTCAGTTTCCCGGGGTCCCCGGGGACGTGAGGGGCGCGCTCCCTGCACGAGGCGGACGCCTGGCCACGTGCAGGGCGATGTGGCCCGACCGTGGGAGCCACGGGCACCATTCCGAGTGTCCCGGGAGGCAGGGGAGGAGCGAGGCCACGGGGGCTGGCTGGGTCCAGAGTAAGGCTCAAGCCTGGCTTGAAAAGAGGGAAGGATTTTAGTTTTAACACAGGACCCGCCAGGAGGAGGCAGGAGACGCGCAGACAGGGTCTGCAGGGACCTTAAGCGGCACAGGTTCTTCGGGGGACAGGAGACGGGCTCACAGGATGGAGAGTCCCCCTGGGGTGCCGCTGGTGACAGCCAGCGGCAGAGCCTGGAGGCCGGGAGGGGCGGCTTCCCAGGCCGAGATGACGGCCCCGCGTGGGAAACGCCCGGCCTGACGGTGGCCTGGTGCTACCTCAGAAGGTTGCCCCCTCCCCCCGAAACACAGAAAAAGAAAACAACGCACGTTCCCGTGATTTCAGCTCCCACAGAACAACGTCCGGCTCCGGAGCAGGCGGCGGAGTTTCCGCCGAGGAGAGAGAGCACTCAGCCGCCCTGCCATCTGCACTGTGCCCCGGCCCCCAATGCCCAGCGGTGGGAACGGACAAAGCGTCAGCAACGCCCCCCGCGGTGCTCCCGGTGCGGCCCCCACCCTCTGCTCCCCCAGCGTGGGCCTGCGCCCTGGGTGGCAGCTTGAGAACCACGTACGTGGTCCCGGGTCTGGTTGTTTGGCTGGTTCCAGCGCCCCTCACGGCGCCGCAAGCTCTGCGGAGAACTCCCTTCAGCTGCTCTGCTCAGAGCTGATCTTAGGACCCCCGTGCGCCCGTCCAAACTTAGCTCCGTACCCCTAAATCAGGGACTGTGCTCATTTTGTATCTATTTAAAACCCGAAATAAGAGCCCAGCTGTTCACGTGAGAGCCTGTCGGCTCAGCCAAGCCTGTCCCGCCGCGGCCATCGGTCCCGCCGGTCCTCAGAAAACCCACACTCTCCAGCCTCCAGGGCTGCGAGAGGACTAAGGAAACGCTTGGGGGTGCGTGCGGCACAAGTTCGTGTTTTATTTTCAGACCTCTCTTGGGACATAAAAAGCTTTGAAGATCTGTGGCTCCTTAAAAAGCAGAGCTTTCTTCCACCACCCCGCCCCCGGCGGGTGCGCTTTAAAAAACAAGGAAGGAAGGAAGGGAAATGCAGCCGAGCGCCCGCGCGGT